GTGCTTGTCTTCCTGTTACTGTTTATGCCAAGAACCACTGTGAAACCCCGCTGATCCCATCAATCCATGAATACGGTTTATCATTTCTAGATGTATACAGGCATGCACACTTCAGGCTCGTAATTAGGCAGGAAAAATGTCAGACTCGTAAAAAGCAAAACACAGCCCGTTTCGTCCTGGGTGGCAGAATCAAACGGAGGCGGTGGGAGGCTGTGAGCTGCCTGAAGATCTGAGTCCTGGCCGTAGTCAGGAACGACAGATGGTGTTTGTCAAGAGGATAGAGCCTTACCTTCTTATTTTATCATGGAAATATCACAGTAAGAAAATATCAACATTCACTATTTTATCGAACAGATTTAAGAAATAAATCCCACAGGAAAAAAAGCCAGAATGCCTGCTGGAAATCAGACCGCCAGATGCAACTGGAAATCCCAGTTAAAAGATGCAGTTCTGTTTATCAGGAGACATTGTCAGCCATTGCATGTATTTTATTTTCTCATTAGGGAAATGCACTGAGCATATACAGAGATTACATTCAGTACAGATTTATCATTACAGAACAACCAGAAAATAAAGATACAATCGATACATATTTCTTGCAGCAGAACAGATTGAAGGAACCGATTCAAGCTGAGAATGAAATGAAAAATACTTAAACCAACTTAAGCGATCTTTACACAGATGAGATATTTAACTCTAAATTAACATTCTCAGCCAAGATCTGTTGCACTGTTGCAATCTTTGTATTCAACAGCTTTATCAGACTTGTGCCTAAGCGTAGACCAGAACCGCCTTGTCTGAGAGCCCATTCGAACAAAACCCCAGAAGAACCATCCCAGTCTGAAGCCACAATCTACACGAGATGACGAAAAGATCCATACAGAGGAGAGTACAATAAAACAAGGAGACAGTTTGGTCCATGTGACAGGCAACAGCTACAAGGCAGGCTAGGGTTGTACTCTACGTGGACGTTCCACTGATTTCACTTGAAGAAGCTCTCTAGAGTTTGCAACCCTAATAAAGTTTTTGTGACTGTGCAGAATTCTATGACACTGCCTGGAATTGATTTTTTGAAGAATTACACTGAAAAAAAGTCACAACACAAAGCAAGTGGAAAAACTACTTTGCCACGTATTTTGTGAGTTCCATAAACTTGACGACCAAATCTTTTTCCAAATGAGCAACTAAAACTAGAACTCAAAAGACCACCTCTACTTCAATTACGCCAGCTGGACTTAAAGCCAGTCCTAGGCATGTTGTGTGCCAGAGATTAGACCAGATCATCACAGCTGGACATGAAAACCTACAAGTATCATTCATCTGCTTGTCTGTCCCTCTGAGGTTTGAACCAAAGGAGGTAGCACCCTGCTCTCCAATATCATAGACCCAAGACCCTGCTTAGCGCTATCGCATCGTGCATCATGTCACTTCTCGTCTTGCCTACTTTCAACACAACCACTTCAAAGGATCGTCTGCCTACTAGCTAGTGATGCACAACGCCTTCTACAATGTGGCCCATTCTGGATCATTTACTTGGTAAGACTGCAATGAATGGGATTATTAAAAATGTTGATTTAGTTCCTTACATCTCTAAAGATCTCCAAGTAATTTCATTCACTTTGCAAAATGAAAAGGTTATATAGACCACCACAGATCAACTCAATCACATCACTGAAGGGGGAGGTAGATACTCTTACTCTGAAAGAGTGAAGTTTAGGACAGTGAAGAACTAACTACGTAGTTGAAATTGCAAGAAGAATTTGGGATAAACAAAAATGTTATGACTCAAGTTATAATTTGCCTACAAGACAGGGATTAACCACTTGTTTTCAAAACCAGCAGTAGAGATAGAACAAGCTGATCTTTGGAGGGAGCTTGCCGGTTCAAAACGACTTCCAAACTCTTTTTTTTTTTCTTCTTCTTCTTCCAATGTTGTGGCATGATACTCAAAGGATTAGAAAAGAGAAGACTGGAAGGGTTTTCTTTCCAGGAAATATAGATAATATAACATACCTCCATGCATTGTTCTCTTAATGACCTTCTCTTACCAGTTTGTATTAATACTAAATCATCTTTATTTCAAGTTTTCTGGCTTTGTCCAGTTGGCAAGTGTTCTCTGAAAGACTAATTTGCTTGCTAGAGTTTTCAGTCACTTTGTGCTTGAAAATTTTAGCTTGCTTTTGAACGTCTGCCAACAGTAAACAGCATGTGGAAGATACTGGTCCTTTACCCTACTACAAGGCTACTTGCAGCAAAGATTTCTCCTTCTCTTTATACATACTATCTAAATTGTAGGAAAATGTTACATATTCGCACGATCAACCCCTTATGATAAACAAGAAGAGGGCAGTGTTTCTTACATATGGGTCAAGACATATTTAGCAGATGAAACAACTTTTATCTGAACATCTGTCAGGTCTGCCTACTGCTTTTTGCCTACCAAGAAACAGGGTACATGGAGCAACATGGTTAGGAGATATAATCATCCCTTTCTAAGAAGGCAGACTTGTTGCTTCAGGATACTCTTTTTTTCCCCCCTCATGTCAGCTTCAACAACGGGTGCCACAGCAACATAAAGACGAGGAGAGAGAAGTAGCTCACGGAGGTGGTGACTCTTGAAGCCAGGCTTTTTGCATTGCAGTTGTTTGAGTAGCAGCAGTGAACGCTCACTCCAGGCGCCCTGGATCCGTCCCTCCTTGCCCGCTCGCAGAAGGACCTGAACGAACAGGACTTCATCACGCCACCTACAACAGAGCCACATTGAACCACACGGCCCTGGCTCTTCGTGGTCCCCGCTCCTCCCCGCATCCCCTCCGCGTGAACCTGAGCATCCCATACCGAGCAACAGCACTAGGTTTGGCCGTTCCTTACAAGCGAATACAATTGCATCAGATTACAGCACACTAACAAGCTCCCACTTAGGTTCAATAATCGTTAATTTATCTTAGATGCAACTGATGCAGCTTGAATATCTCTGAACGTGCTCAAGTGCAGTGCCCCGTTAGCTTCTTTTGCTTCCGAGTTTCCAGGAGAGTCATTTAACTTAAAAGTGACAGATTTAAGTAAGGAGCGGGCAATACTTAAAATGATTTTTTTACAGCTTTCACGTAGCACGGATACGGCTCATGATGGCATACTGACAAATCATACTCGGAGGGATTCTCTATCAGATTGATGCTAAACCAATACAATTGGGACTGAGATTTGTTAATAGGGTTTATTTTGAGAGGAAGCATTTACCTTTCTTTTTCTCCTTAGCTTACTATATACTCTTCTCTTTCCAACACCTGATAATTTATTTCTATTATTAAAAATCTAATGAGTCTGAACTGTTTGTGACTACTTACTCGCTTGTCCTCTAATGACGGCACATGCATCCGAATGCCCTGGACATTGCTGAGCTCCTTGTCTGTTACAGTCTTCATCGCTAGAACCTACACAGGTGTAACACTGCAGCGCTTCGCCTGGCATCGAGGGAAAAAAGACCACTTATAACAGTAGGGTTTAGAGTTTACAAAAAATATTTGAAAACATCAGCTACGCAGGCTTTCTAATTTTGTTTGAAGCGCAAGCAAAAAATTGCAAAAAGGTTTAAAAAAACATCTAAAGATTCTGCAAATCTTATCAATTTTTCTTTTTCAGAAGTGGTCCAGATACTGATTTTACAGATTAAAAAAAAAAAATCAGCCGTATATTATTTAGTTGTCACAATTTGCGCTTAAAATAATCCAAGAACATCTGATGTTCTGTCAGTGCATCCACACCTTCTTGCAACATTTTTGGAGCACAGTCCATTGTAACAAGTTGCAGTATCATGGTTTTTCCCCCCTCCGCCATGATCTTTGGTCCACGGTACCGTGAAAAAGTACATTGTAAACACATAAAATCTTATTATGATCCATATTTCATTTTCTCCTAAAGTATCACTTCAGCTGGAAGGCACAACGACATATCTTGAGAGTTTTGCTTTTGTTTAAACATTAGAACCATAACTCGATCCTCTTTCTTTTCCTTGGTTCAAACCATATGGTATTTACAAAGGCAAGCATGCATTGGAAATATATTTAAAATACCATACTTCAGACTTGCAGAGCAGGAGGCACACTTGCTGTCCACAGGGACACGTGCATTTAAATTTGTTAGCATACCTATTTATGTTTACATTCCACAGCAGAGGTGAAATTCTGTGCTGCTATCCACATACCCAAAATAATCTGAAACCAAACAACGCCAGGAGAGCCCAGAAGAGCAAAGAGGCTCAGCCATGCCTGAAGTAGGAAATGAAAAAGAAATAAGAAAGGAAAGAAAAGGGAGTCGACTTACTTTTGAGTACAAAAAGGGAGCTGACGAGAACCAGGCTGAAGACTGTCCACATCATGGAGATACAAGAGATGCACCATTAGCCAAAGAAAGCAGTTTGTTTGCTATTAAAGCCTTAATACTTATCTTACATACCTAATCCTCTGCAGAGGATAACTTGGAGGATAAAGAGGTGTGCGAGAATGCTACTTATCTAGCTTATTCTGGTTGTGCTTCTAATCACACGTACTTCATTCTCCACAAACCCTGCAGGCAACGTCTTCCAGTAGCAGGAAGAAGAAAACGTATTCCCCTTTCCGTGATCGCTGTGCTTAAAAACCACCAGCCCGTCGTCGCATGTCACAGCCTCCACCTCATGCAAGCAGCCTCATTACCTTTGCCTAGGGGATTTGCTGGATCAGGGTCAGAGTATTAAACATTTTGGAGGATTAAGCCTATGCTTGGGACATGAATGGTCCAAATCTAGCATATATATATATATATATATATATTTATAGAGAGAGCAAGACATAGACATAGATATGTGCACGTAAGTAGTATATTCTTGTGACCCATGGTGTGCTCCAAGCAGTGACCCACGAAGTGCTTTCTGTGAAGGAATTCATTAATAAGAGCTGCTGCATCTGGCGCTGCACATGAAGCAAGCAAGTGAAGTGCATCAAATAAAGCCATACTTATCTTCAACTTTCAACGAAAAAATTTATTTACAATAGAGGATTTCATTTAAGTGACATGCATTTTCATTTTTTTTCATTTTTCATTTTATTTTACAAATCAGCAAATGCAGATAAAGTTTACACTCCTTAAGGCAAGAGTCCCCATGCAAGTAATACATGTTTATATTAAATCCAAAAGACATCCAACATGGGAACTCATGTACAAAGGGAAGGCTAGGATCAGCAATTTGTAATTTCTTAGAGAATTTGACAATCTCCCTGATACAGGAACTTTGAGATCAACTTGCTATGAATTATACTATGAAAATGCAAACAATAGCAAGAAATTCTGATAGTCATCTTAGTACTGCATACAATTAAATCAACTTTATTTAGAAAGAAAATACAGTAGTGCATACGAAAAAGTGAAAATATAACCTGTCCACATAAATGTATGGACATCAGTGTGCCAATGGTCATATTGCACTCAATATCGAAGTCCAGAAATTTGGTTAAAAGTTAGCTTTTCCCCATTTTGGCAATCAGTTCATCACAAATCTTTGTTAATTCTTCTATCTCTTTATTCTGGAAAATAAAAGGCAATATTAAGTATTATGAAACATATTGTTGCATTAAGTTGAGGGGGTTTTTTTAATTATCCAACCTTCAGGAGAAGTGTGGGACAACTAAGTTTTCTCCAATACTGAGAACAGAATATCTCTATATATATCTATATATATATGCATACATAGTACAGCTATGTATAGTTCATTCAAACAATATGCTTATGCATTTCCACATACAGCTCCTCCGACTTCAATAAATACAATTTAGCACTAAAGCAGACAGCTTTATAGCAGTCATTGCTAGCACACGATAATAATACATAGTGTAAATTTGTTTCTAGGCTGCACTTTTATAGCATCATTTTCGCTGCTTTCCAGGGGCTCTAAGCAAGCACAAGCTGTACTATTCTGAAAGCAAGCTCCTTTGCTGAGCTAGAGGACATTAAATATAAATAGTGATTTCCTACAGTGACTTTTGCCCTAAGCCGTACAGATCTGGATCTGATCATTTTGTCTATGCTAACAGCGGAGGCATGTAAGCTAGCGTTGGAATTACAGTTAAAAGTAAAAATGGAAACAAAAACTGAAAGAAGAACTAAAACAGAGGTATCTTAAACCTGAGAACCAAAGCAAACCAAGGGCCCTGCTTGGTACCTAGGTGCCTGCTGAGCTTTGACCGAGTCTGAATCAGCCCCGAGCACTGGCGGGTGGCTGTGATCGAAGCCTGGCAGATGGGTCCATTTGCCCGAACTGCCCTTTGCAGGCAGCTGATTTTGTTATAAGGTTTGGGCAGTGCTGCTCTCCCTGGGGCCGGGGAGCTGCCGGGCCAGCTGGACGTGAGGAGCAAGACAGGTCCCTGGGCAGACCTTGGCTGTGGTCTGAGCTCCAGAGGAGAGCTGGATGCAGCCACTCTGGGGATGTTTCACTTCACTTTGGTCATCCATTGACTTCTGCGTTAACAGAGCTGAATTGCTCTTTACCTTTTGTTCCAGTGTTCTTTCCAATGCGTCCACTTTCAGCTGCTCTTTACGAAGGCTGGCCTGATACGCTGCTTGCTCTTGCTGAGCCTTGCCTCTCACTTGTGCAATTTCAGCATTGGCTCTAGAAAAACACAGACTTTTGTCACGTCAGACTCTCTACAGGAAAGGACAGCAGGTACTGAAGGACGGACTGCATCTGAACACATGGGTGGTGAGGGCAGGGCTACTTTCTGCATGTCTTTGAAACTATTCTGAGCCTTGTCCCTAGACACTTTTCATGACTCACTCTCTTGCTCAGCAGAGTCTTTTCTTAACGTCTGTGTCATTCCCTTCATGCTCCTCTCAGATATCTGTGCTGGGGTCACAAATACCACTTAGGTAGAAGCGTTTTATGGCAGTTTCTAAACCTGATCTCCAGTTCTTACAGACTGGACTCACAGCTGGGACAACAGCTGGAAAGCAAATCCAAGTTTTACTTTGTTTTAGGCACTAATCAATCCTAGTGACATTTTGGAAACATCTCTTGGGTCTAGGGGACTGAATGTGTGAGTCCTGAATGTAATGAGTCCTGAATATAATGCCTAGGAATGCTTAATCAGTCATCACATGGAAGCATTAAAAAAAAAAAAAAAAAAATCAACCAGAGCTGCCTCTCTTCAGCCACAATTTGATGTTTGCTCCTTAACAGTGGCTTAAGGAGTTATTATCTGTGCACATCTGGCACGATCTTTTGTGCAACTGTTCCTCGCTGCCCTCAGCACAAGTTGGGCTGATCCAGCTTAGGTAACCGGTGTTACTAGGGACAGACCGCCTGACTGATTCTGCACTGAAACAGCCGAGCAGCACTTACATGTTCTGCTCTTCTGACTGACACAGGGGCAATGATATAGCACAGGGGCAATAGCAAATCTCTGGGGGCAGGAATACTGGCTGCAGGTGCAAATATCTGAGCACAGCCCTCCACAGCTGCATAAACCTAGCTAATGGCTTCTTTCTTGATCTCCCCTGGAAAATACGTTATAGAAACATGAAGACATTTGATAAAGATAGAAGTTGAAGGTGTTCCGTACGTTCAGTAGCTGGAAGAAACACCAGCACATTACAGAAATTCTCATTACAGCATTTCATTCCACCTCCACCACAGAGCAGCCTGTGCTCTGCATATTGATGGAGCAGGTTTGGGACGCAAGGTCCAGCCACAGGAATCCTCCTGCAGCATGAACTCCTGAAAAGCAACGTGTACAATCAATTACCTGTCCAGTTTTTCCTCAGCGTGAATTTTGAGTGCTTGATACCTCTGCTCTTCTTTCTTCACTCGTGATAAATATTCCTGTGCACATTTCTTTAACACTTCTTCATTCTTAAATGAGAAGATTACATTAAATTTAATCCAAGAGGTTGCAGTGTAGGACAGGCACCTATTTGCAGGAGTCACATTCAGGATTTTTTAAGGGCTGCAGTCTAACACAGAGGCCATCTGAAGCAATACCACACAATGCAAAAAGCTTTACAATTCTTCTGTTTGCATTTGGTACATGGCTGCAATCCTTCATCTGAGGATGACGTTATGTCACAGACTTTCGACATAACCTCTGACCCGAGGAATTCACGTCCTAGGTTTTAACAGAATGCTCAGGCCAGAGGCCAGCCCTCACATGTGCTCAAGTCCCGCAGTTACGTGACATTTATTGAAATCGCAGCGTCACGTATGTTACAAGTTACTCTTGTGCAAAATCTTCATCTCTTTAAAGCTATTTCAAAACGAAAGCCCAAGTGAGCATTCATGTTCTCCCTGCCCCCAGCACGCTGCAGTCTAATGCAGTACATCAGATTCGACTGGAAACAAAGAGGTGCCTTCTGTTAAGCAGCACTGGCATACACGGCAGCCTGCTCAGCTTTGCTCTGTAAAGGAGGGGACTTGACTCACCTTCCGAAACCCCTCCAATACTTCTTTCATTTTTTCATATCTCCTGAAAAGATCTGCCAGCGATTTCTCCACTGAGTTCAGATCTGCCAAAGCTTGTTCCTTCTCCACTATCAGCTGCTGAACAGTGTGATGGGAGACAGATTTCTCTCTCTGTTCATCCTCTGTTAGAAAGAAGAGAGGGGGAGGGAAAAAAAGCGATTTTCAGAAGGGTAATAGTAGTAAGAACACTGATTTCACTATCATCTATAGTTTCTACTATACTGTGCTCTACACTGTGCCTTAGTAAGTTTGCAGGATCCCGAAAAGTCATTTTTATATGAAGATACAATCCTGTTTTGGAAAAAGGTTGCTAAACACAGTGATATTTAAATATTTTGATGTTGGGGAAAAATGTGAATATATCTCTGTCCTGATGATTTCTTTCACTCTGAACTCAGCTGTTCCCATGAAAAAGGCAGGTGTTGGATTTCCCTTGTTTGCCTGAAGATGCGCTAGCTGAAGGAAAGGACATTTATGCATATTACTAGCACTGGCAATAAATTATTTGCCATTGCTGATATATGCTTGTCATCTCCTGGCATCTCTTCTAATCCTGTACAAACAAAGCACTTTGTTTAATGGAATTCAAATCAAATTCTTCTCTTGGAAAAACAGCGTTTTGCAAACTCTCATTCTTAGGATTACTGTAGCAAGTGCCAGAAAGGAAATCTAACATTAGACAGGCTTTCTAAGCTCTGGTCTGCAGAAAACATCTTCCAAGCTTCTCCTGTGTAGGGTTAAATTTGAGGCAGGGATGGTGGCAAGAACAAGAGGAATCCAAATCCATACGGAAGAGAACTTTTCAAAGGAATTGACGTAGTAATAAACTGGAATACCCGTACAACACCAGAAGAAAAGGTCTGGCATTGTCTTCCAAAATGCTTCATTGTTTGCTTCATATCCTAAAACATGATTCTTGTGTCCATGTTTTAAGGGCTACTTTGAATGCTACTGAAATGAAAACCAACCCGCAAAACATAGCAGTTTTATATTACCATTTTCCTTTGTCTATGATGGAAACTAAAATAAGGTAAGAAGCTCTCCCATGTAAAAACCACGAGGCATTTCAGAATCTACAACTTTTCATTCAGGCCTCTGTATTTTGAAATACAAAGAACTAAACAAGAGTTTATCTTTTTATTTCAATAGAAGTCTTCACCTGCATTAACTATTTCATAGTGCTGGTCAGCTCTGAAATGTCAAAGTTGATACTGTCAATTCCCAAACTGAGACTCACCTCTTCCTTTTGCATATTCAATCCTTGTATACATTTTTGCTAGCCTAAGCCCAGAGCAGTGACGATGCCACGCCATGCATCAGCTCACGTTGGCTCTGTTCTGCGCTCCCCTGCACGCCCCCTGACAGCACCTGGCTGGGGCAGAGCCTGACCTGAGGTTATTTTGCTCTATGGGATGCAGAAGATCGAAAACCCCAGAGAAACTCCCAGGACCTGCACTGAGATTGCAGCGCTGGAAGTTGTAACACCTTTATTTTACTGGTGAACAAATACCTTTGATACGGCAGAACTGAGAAACCCAGAGCCCTGTAATGCCACAGTTTGCTAATATTTAACATTTCATAAAAAATAAACATTCTTTTTTATTTTGCCTTCTTAAAGACACTCTGCGATCATCTGTAATGTCAAAATGACTGCATTCGCAAGGAAAATGAGGAAACCATTTGTCATCCTTCATTTATTTTTCTAAATCTGAGAAGCTGTCACCTTGTGTTCCAGCACAAGATTTGTTTAATCGTGCTGGGGATTACACACTGTCTAGCTTAATTCCAAAACACTTACTGGCAGGATCCTGTTCTTTGGCAAAACCTCTGTCGTCGCAACTCCGTGCAGGGGGAGGGATCCATTTGCATGATCACGTAAGGTGCTTAAATGCATTTAATGTCACAACTTTACTTTTTCTGAGACTGCTGTCTGCGGTATTTTAGCAACTTCCTTCTCATTTGATTCTAGGGCAATCTAGAGAGTTAGTAACTCATGACTCACTCCCTCACAACTACTGAGCTCTTCCTGCTCCCCCCAGGGCAGCGTGGTGCCCTCCTCTCTCCTTGGCGCCCTCCTCTCTCCTTGGCGCCCTCCTCTCTCCTTGGCGCCCTCCTCTCTCCTTGGCGCCCTCCTCTCTCCTTGGCGCCCTCCTCTCTCCTTGGCGCCCTCCTCTCTCCTTGGCGCCCTCCTCTCTCCTTGGCGCCCTCCTCTCTCCTTGGCGCCCTCCTCTCTCCTTGGCGCCCTCCTCTCTCCTTGGCGCCCTCCTCTCTCCTTGGCGCCCTCCTCTCTCCTTGGCGCCCTCCTCTCTCCTTGGCGCCCTCCTCTCTCCTTGGCGCCCTCCTCTCTCCTTGGCGCCCTCCTCTCTCCTTGGCGCCCTCCTCTCTCCTTGGCGCCCTCCTCTCTCCTTGGCGCCCTCCTCTCTCCTTGGCGCCCTCCTCTCTCCTTGGCGCCCTCCTCTCTCCTTGGCGCCCTCCTCTCTCCTTGGCGCCCTCCTCTCTCCTTGGCGCCCTCCTCTCTCCTTGGCGCCCTCCTCTCTCCTTGGCGCCCTCCTCTCTCCTTGGCGCCCTCCTCTCTCCTTGGCGCCCTCCTCTCTCCTTGGCGCCCTCCTCTCTCCTTGGCGCCCTCCTCTCTCCTTGGCGCCCTCCTCTCTCCTTGGCGCCCTCCTCTCTCCTTGGCGCCCTCCTCTCTCCTTGGCGCCCTCCTCTCTCCTTGGCGCCCTCCTCTCTCCTTGGCGCCCTCCTCTCTCCTTGGCGCCCTCCTCTCTCCTTGGCGCCCTCCTCTCTCCTTGGCGCCCTCCTCTCTCCTTGGCGCCCTCCTCTCTGGTGCCTTCCTCTCTCCTTGGAGCCCTTGACTCTCCTCGGTGCCCTCCTCTCTCCTCAGCTGGACCAGCTCCTCAGACGCTCACCCCCAGCCCCACTTCAACGTGCACATGGGAATTAGGGGCAAGTGATAGCCAGTGCTCCCTTTCTCCTCGCCCATCCACTATGTGCTAGAGGTGTCCACGGACCGGGGAGCGAGCTGAGGCCTCACTAGACTGCAAGGGGGCAACGGGAATTTATATTGGGGAAGGGAGTGACATATAAATTGGAAAGAGGGAAAGTTTCCAGTGAGCTGTAGGAAAGGGGCACCTAATAATCTCAGATAACAGTTAAGATGATAGATAGATTTAAAACCAAAGTGGTTAAATACTACAGAAAACAGAAACTGGCCTCTGGCTGGAGGGGGACTGGAAGATCTGTGTGATATTTTCTAAGACTATGATTTAGCTTTAATGAAAAAGCTGCTTAGTGGAACTGCGCTGATAACAGTCTGCCAGTCAAATCTTAATCAAGCAGTTACACTTATTTCTAAGGATATTTATGATGTTATGCGATTAAAATATTTTAATTAAATGGCTTCCATGTCTGCAACACACACTGTCCACGGCTCACCAACATTAACAACAGTAGGCTCAGGACTAACACTATCCAAATTGACAGAATCAGAGCACCACCACAGCAGATCCGCTTTCAGGCTCAGCTCAGTATTACTTACGTTACTTAATGGGAATGCAGCAAACGGAGAACAAAAGCAAAATAAACTAAAAATGCAAAATGCTGGTGTGAAAGTTGGTGAAAAGCTTTACTTACCAGGCTTGCCTGTTTTGTTTTTGCAAGCAAATAGCAAGAAGCAACAAAAACGGAAGCAAAATAGAAAATCAGGAATTGTTAGGAAAGCAGAAAATAAGTAATGCAACAACCTGTAATGCACAAAGCATAACATCTCTTTTGTTTTTCATAATGAGAATTGAATTATGTATTTAAACGTACAAGTATAAGGATACATTTTTAACAGAAAAACACCCAACATTATAGATCCATCAATAAAAAGACATCCATGAGAGGGATTTTGGAAGGGAACTGTGGATGGCTGTGATCACGGTGTGTGTAGGGTGGGGTGCAGTGAACACGGGGTTACGCAGGCTCCGTTCCATACGGCTGCCAGTGCCACGCAGTCGTGAGCTGCAAAACTTGGGCAACAGTCAGCAAAGCAGCAGCACAAGCAGCAGGCTAGCCCGGAGTGCCTGGTCTTTTTTCTCCCCCCTCCTCAATATAAACAAGAATGGGCTAGGGGCTGAGGCAAGTGTAAGAAAAAAGGAAAAAAGAGTTAAAGCACCAGTAAAAAAATATGCAAAGAGACACTAACAGGGATCTGTACGCTGACAGCTTGCAAGCTCTGGCTGTACAGAGTGTGGCATGAAACTAATTGCATAAGCTATGTCAGGTAATATCGGGTTCTATATGTATATGACAGCAAATACTAGACATTCCACAGCCCTTGAAATCAAAGGCAATTACTGCTTGCAATGCATGTTTTCAGTGCCTTTATAGGCAAACATACACAATCATATATTGTTAATATGGAATATTTTCCATATTCATTATACATTCACATGACAACCTATAAAAAGCTGAGCAGGACCTACCAACCACACTGCATATTCATTAAAGGGAATTGTGAAATTGGTTCACTTGTAATGCCCTCCTAACAGGGCTGTATAAATAGCTCAGAAGGGTTAAATCATAAACGGAAACAGCACAGGCATTTCTTTTGTTAAAATGCATATTTCGCGTTAGCAGTAAGGCATTATTGTGATAAGAGTTCAGCGAAGTATACGCAAATAGCACACAGACAATCACTTTCCTCCACAACGTGGCATCTGAATGAGCGAATTCCTTTATCGGAAGGGACAGTAATTTACGACAAATGACAGGAGAAAGTGGGACAATTAGATCAAAAATTTACATTAAATGCAGGGAGAGGAAGCCTCGCATTTAACGTATTACCATGCTGTAGAATTTGCACGCTGCTCTAATTAACACATGCTTTCTGTGTCACTGTTGTTTCAGTTCCTTTGCAAATGGACAGCAAATTACATTATTTATAGCCATAGCTCTTAAAAACTTGCCAGAGATCACTTGAAAAACTCTGACCGATACTCTGAATTTGAAGTTTAAAAATCTTTCTGTATCCTCAGTGGTCAACGGCCCAACTCTTTAATTATCCTTGACTTTGTTGCAACAAGAGCAAATGGCAATTGCAGAATTTACTATGTATGCGTGGCTGTGCCTTTGCCTTAGGACCCCTATTCTATACCTTCTTGTTGCACTGGAGTCTCACAATTTGATTTTTTTTTTTTAAATCTGTTTCTCAAGAACAGAATTTGAATTTGTTATCAAAAAGAAACTCCTGTTGCTAACTATATGCACATGCTTGGGAAAAAAGGACAGGTCCTGTTTGTCCATATGAATGTCCAGGTTCAGGGATGAAGCCATACCAGAGTACATTCAGTGTAAACCAAAATGAATTCAGTTCTTTGCATACTCTGTTTCGCTCCTGTTTTAACACTTGCATGATGAGAATGACAGACGTTATGTCAGAAGACAGGCAAATTTGCTCAGTTGTACATACAAAAGGCAACAGAGGCATAACACCATAGAGAAGAAGCCAGGCATATTATTACTATAATACATTATTCATTATTGTTGTTGTTATTATTATTATTAAATTATTAATTTATTTATAGGCCCATTTTTCCCTTCACTTGAAAGGAACCTGGGGTGTCTCCCAACAGCTGAGAAATGTGGGAAGGCAGCAAAAGCACCAGACATTGAACTACTTCCCCCCACTCTCTTTGGGTAAAAATAAGCAAATTCACTACAAACGTACGTAAACACAACTCAACCATTAATTAAAAAAACCCCAACAATTTAAAAGAAATAAAAAATTTGGGGGGGGGGGGGGCGAAAAAAAAAAAAAAAAAAAATTGGGGGGGGGGGGGTGTGTCACACAATACTGACTGCAGATGAGGGGACTGCCAATTTTAAAAGGGGCAAAACAATATGATACGTTGATAGCTGTAATAAAAATCCTTCCCTGTTAAAAAGAGGCAGGTATGCCTGTTGTGTTCCTGGCACGCTGTACTCTGTGACAGTTCTCTCAGGAGAGTTAGAGGAATAATTTTTTCTTTTTATTTTTCAATAAACACAGTGCAAACAGGCTGGATTCATAACCCTCCCTGCTCGCAGACATCATTAGCTAGGCTAGCCTTTCTCCCGCATCTCACAGCCCAGATGTAACTCTGAGGCCACTCCTAATGGCTTTTAACAATATTTCACAGTTCTCTGCTGCATTACTCAAGCTTGTCCAGATGAGCTTGGTCCTGATTTCTCATCAGCCACTGCTTCTTTTCCTGCTCTTCCCAACAATTTTGGCCATAGAGACCCACGACCCCGCTCAGCCGTTCACCTTTCTGGGAGACAGCTTGAGCTGAAGCAGGACACGGCAGCACAAGCCACTGGTGCTTTCTATAGCCAGACTAAGAAAAAGAGCTTTGGAAATCTTACGAGGAGGCTTTAAAATCACATCCCAGGGGCCAGACCAGGACACGAGTCCTGCAACCTTTGGTTTTGAAATGCTACTGCACATAGTGGTTTTCATTTGCGGGGCATGCTGTTAACAAAGGCGTTTTCTAAGTATTGTGAGGCAAAACATGTCATAATTTAGACCTTGAAGGAGACCCCTATGTCAGTAAATAACTGGAGAGGTGGATGGATTGGCCACTCATAATCTCTCAGCTGGGATTGGAGTTAATCTAGGTTTTGGTCTGACCAATGCACTTAGCACAGCTAATCCCTGTTGTTGTAAAGAGCTAAGTTTGGTATCTCCCATTAAACAGCTGGGAGCGGATGACTGAAGGGTTTTTAGGTCATTGAAAGTCTCTCCCAGAGATACCCATGAATTCTGGGCAAAGCATTTCAGTGTTTCCTATGGGACAATTTGCTTTGACGCAAAAGAAAGGGCCCTGACCTTTCTGTATTACCTGGACTGCCTCGGGGGCTGCTTTCTGTAAAAGGAAGCCTAGCTTTTCATCACAAACTGGCAGCACACGCGGGTGTCCTCAGATGCATTCACAATTCCCAGCAGCATCAGCAGATGTAGCTAGCATCACAATGAAGCTCACAGACTTCAACCATGTTTCTAGGCTCTCTTCAGAAAATCAGAGTGGAGGATAGCGTCTTTCAGAGTAGAAACACCTACCTATCATCTGAGCAATCGTCTTCTCATATTCTGAAACTATTTTCCTATAAGAGGGAAAAAAAAAGAAAAGCTTTTGGCAAACATCACAATTGCTAATGCTTACTTAGAAAATAATGCTACTCAAGAACTGAATTATGGTATTTTAAAAGAGATACAGCACCCCTTCACACTTTTATATGCTCTTTATCACCTGAGTAACAAAGAAAACTGGCTGTTTAAACATTGCACCTGATTTTTAATTCTCCATGTAAATCAGTATAGGTGGGGGGAGGGAAAAGGGATTGCTTTGAAACAAACTCTGTTATTTGAAACATGCCCAAAGTACATTACCAATCATTATTTAAATATAAACATAATCACACTGGTCTAATTCAAGAGTTACAAAGACTCTGATTTTTCCATTACTTTCTCCCCTCTTCTCCGTGTTTGTGTTTGCTTATTTTTAATGTAACCGTTAAGTAAAATTCTAATTGGTAGCAAGTAAACCTAACAGGGGTATAGTTGGCCCTCATCCAAAATATATCTCATCTTCCACTCTCCAAATGTGACTAAATGATCCATTAGCACTTAAGAGAACAAGACCAAAATATTCAATTCTGTAGCACAAAATCCGTCGTGTCCTATTTCCCAAATCTGGTTTTGAAACAGAGGTGGCAAAATGTTACTTTTAAGACTATTTGATCTCATATACTCACGGTAGGCTTTGAATTTCCTTCTTGAAAAGAGGTTAGCCAAAATAAGCAGATTAAATGTGATTTAGAAAGATGATCCATCCCTTCCCAGAGCCAAATAAAGCTAATGAAATGAGACTAGCTTGATCTGTGCTTTGACTCATGAGCCACGTAGGACTGTCTACGAAAAACAAAATTACCCCACACTTCATCTGAAGTGGATATTCCAAATAGCTCACTGGTATTTGAATACATCTCTTTTGAAGTCTTAGCTCACTTTCACTTGCTCCGTTTTGGAGAAGTGTGCTGCAGTTGGTGAGGTTACAGAGAGGATGTGGGAAAATCCTGAGACAAACGTCAGTAAGGAAAGGAAACTCACGGAGCTCCCAAAAAACTCATGTAGTAACTCCAGTACCGCCTGCCTCAAATCTGAATCACAAAAAGAGCCCTGAAACCCCTGAGAAGGCCACTTGCCCCAAAGGTCAGTAGCGTCTCACTTGCCCTGGTGCTGCAGAGAACTCAGCAGAGCAGGGGGTTTACAGCTGCGCACCCCGCTGACCTCGCGCAGGCTTCGGGTAGAAAAAATCTTCGGTCCTGGGGCCAGAGCCTGTCTCTGCACGGCTCGCCGTGCCTCCAGCTGCTGCCTCCACTGGGATCTGCTCGGATGCTGCTTTCCCTGCTCTCAGTCTTCTTGTTTTAACTGGCTTTTTTCTTTTTCTTTAACCATAAATGACACTTTTGAGAGCAAAGATAGCCACAAGGATTTTCCCCTAAAAAGAAGGGATTGGTTTCATGTCCAAAGAAGATTACCTCAAAAGCCTGGTGTAAGCAATAAGGATTTTAAAGCCACGTCATGTCCTTGTAACACCAGGCACCTTTAGGAAGTTTTATCATCCTAGAAAATGAAGCCTAGGACCCAGGGCAATGAACATGACATTAAACACTGTTACAACACTTCCCAGCCTAGGCTGCACCACGGAAGTTGGCAGCAAAGTGGAATTACATTACCTATTTGTTGTTTTTACCAGCTTAGACTAGTTCAAGTAGGTACCACATTCTCTGCATTATCCAGCCTTATGAATCATGTGGCAGCTGTTCAATAGAAGTGGATACTGCAATGGCACATTGATTTTAATAATATTAGATTTGGAAAGCAAGGCAGTCAAGTGAAGTCTTGTTCCAGATTCATGTCAAAGGCCTCTTTCAGTCAAGCAGCCTAAATAATGGTCATTATGGCTGGAGAACCAAAGGATGCTAGCCACATCATTCCTCCCTGTGATGGCACATCTCAACCCTAGCTTGACATGTTGCATAGGCTTAACTTTTGGTATTTTAGATATTCGATCTATTTATTGACTTCCTGCAATTTCATAAGTTACAACACCAAAATCCAGGGCTACAAAGGATCTCAGAGGTCATCTGCTTGACTTCCCTTACTGAGGCACAATCAATTAGACCTCCAAATAACCATATTTAAATATTTCTTGCCTGCCTCTGGTTGTACCCTTGGATTATGGTATAGCCCACCCTGGTTTAGCTCTTCAATAGTTATTACAACTTCTCATCTTGGCCACTGGTCTCTGGAGTGGAATTTTGCCCAGTCTGACATTTTTCTGGAAACTTAGCTGAACTCAGGATATTCCAGGTAGAGTATGCAGGACTTGGGTAAAGGAGCACTGCTTCTTCTTCTGTGGAAAGTGATGCTTTTGTGCTTGTAACTCTAGATAATCCCTTCACTCCTTGCTTATCATCATGTCATATCTAACTGCTGCATCTCTAATTTACCACACATGGACTGTTTCAACATTTAATCTTCCAAGAGAAATCTTTCTTTGTGCATACATGCGTATTTTATCATTTCGTGACAATATTAGTCAGTTGTTTTTTTTTTCACCCATGTGTTCTAGGGATGTGCCTGTGGGAAATTTGGCTTAGATAATGTGTTTTTTTCAAATCGAGTTTTATTGAGGGTGTAGACACACAAGTAAATTACTGTGAGGAAGATGAAGGTACAGATCTACAGTGTGCCAGCTGCTCTGTGTCACCTCCTGCTCTCCTTTCATTAAGGAACAAGCAACCTCTGTCCGTGCCCGTTTGCAGCCAGCAGGCGCGTGCACCCAGGCAGTTTCGAGAGAACAGACCATGTACCACACTTGAGCGCGTGCTGAACGCTGAGACGTTCCTCACACAATTCCTGACTTTGTTCATTCCTTGTTTTGCTTCCTTGGCTTGACTGCTTGCAGCAGCTCCTTTCTGTTTTGCCTCATTATGCATTTGAGGTCTATGCCAGGGTTTTGTTTCCTTTCCAAGCAGAGCGCAAGAGAGGTGAGAGAACTCAGCTGGGCACTGGGAGATGGTTTTCTGAAAGAAATAAAGCGGCTGCCCTTGCCTTTTGCAGATGCTTCTCTTAAGATGCTTTGGCTCAAAGCCCTGCGCTGCCGCTATTCCAATCTGCCATGTGCGACTCCTGGCACCCATGCTAGCGTTTTCCGAGTTCTGCACCGCAGTTCCCTTTTACCCTTCCTCCCCTAAGTACAGTTTTCCTGGATATAGTCAGGAATTGAATATGCAGGTCACCACTTGATACAGCTCTTTGGCTTTAGCTTTAAACCACCGAGACATTTAATTTTGGGAAGAAGCTGGTGCTAGAACAGAAGTGATTTTGAAGAAAATTCAGCCTCAGAAGCGACTGCAGAAATTATTACTTAAAAGGATGCTAAAATAATCTGACAGTTTCCTTTTATTTATGAGTTAAGGACGGGGGTTGGTTTTTCTGTCTGTTTGAAGGTAGAAAATAATAGGCTTTAAAGACTCCATGAAATATTTTTATACATTCTCTTTTGCAATTGATGACTTTCTCAGATTCAGATCAATGCGCAGGTCAAGCTCATTGTATGTCGTTCTTACGGTATTACCACTGTAAAAAAAGAAAGGCTGAAACTTTCAACTGACTAAATGGGAAGCAATAGTGATTCTTTGAGCAACACCGCTCACCTCATCCACTACAGTGATTTTGTTGTCGCCCTTGCACATGGCAGGACCTGGGCTGGGAAGGAAGGTCAAACCAGTCATGTTCCAGTACACAGATGTTTAATGTAACAGAGGCAGGTTTGCAAGGAGAAATAGAATAGAACAGATACAACTAGAATAAACTCAAAAGCTCAGGATCCTTCTGTCAGCTCTCAAACGGAGCAGCAAAATCCAAGAAAACTATTGCTTAACTGAAATCAAGCTTAAGTGTGTGCAGTAATTAGAAAATCATCAGCTCAGTTCAAAGAAAAGGGTGTATAATCTCCTCGAAAGTCAACACTCGAGAGGCCAGAGTAGTTCCTCTGCAAGAAATATTTTGCTACCGGCAACTGGGTTTTTGTTTTCTATTGTTAAAGAAACGTTTTACACTAATGTCCTGGAGGGAGCCTGTACTGCTCATACCTATCTGCACACCTTCACATTCTTTCTTCTGTTGGCAAAACTATTCGTGGAGAGTGAATTTTAAATTAGCACATGCATACCTCTGCCAGCTCTGCAGGCAGACTCATTCAGGCAGGCAACAGAAACATCACTATGCAATCCACGTGAGAATTCACAGCACAAACTGGAGGAAATTCTCCCCCTACATTAACCTAGATTGAGACCCCTCTTATCTCAGTATTTTGAGGATGCAAAAGAGAGTAGCAACATAGAAGTTTTCAATGATTACCCAGAACAGCGGTGCCCACCACACAGAGCAAAGACAAAGTATCAGTTTAGGATCAATTCAAAGCCTGCAGTTAAAAATAACAAAACAAATTCAGCTAACCAAAACAGTTGTACAATCATAGTACTCTGTGTACTGTCGACAGGCTGAAATGAGACTCTCTGTCAGTGTGATTAGTGACAAGTTCATAACCTACCTCATTTCCATCACTTCCCTTCTGCTTTCTTCATATTTCTCTTTCCACTCAGATACTTCTCTTTCCTTGGCCACAATCTGACACAAAGCAAGTGAATGGAAAAAAAAAAAGTAAACCCAAGTGATTCATTAAAGAGGAAAATAAATAACTCTACAATATTTGATTTAATATCAAATCCTAATTAACAGCGGGATAGTTTTCAAGTGCATAATGCGTTCAAATATAAGCATCCTCTGTGAATTTTTTCTTTTTCAGACTGCAAGGTGCAATTAAAAAAGTCCGGATGTGAAATCATACTCAAGTCTTGAAAAACTAACTTAGGAAAGTAGATGCAATGTTCTTGTTTCATGTTTCATTCCTGGTTATAACAAGGACACTTCTCAAGAAATACTGTATTACACTACACCATGTCTGATTTGACCTGGTGCCAAACCTGAAATACTTCTGTACATGGGTTTGGAACATGGTCCCCTGGTTTGTCCTCTAAGGGGGTTCTACTGCTTCTGCACGCATATTTAGGGCTGACTGTCCATGAAATTTTATACCCAAAGGACTGTGTTCCCTTGTGCCACCTTCCTTCGCACAACCTATCATAAAGTTTGGAATACTCTAGCACTAGACCGTACCCATTTTTAATTGTTATTATTAGCCAGACTGATCTTATATGTAGCTTTGTAAAATACATAATTTTATTCCTATTTCTAGCATCTTACAATTTTTATATAATTATATAGCACTGTCATGATGCACAGAGTACACTTGAGGTTAAAAACAATAAAGATTTATTTTCATATAACATCTGCTTTTCACCTATGTCAAAAAAAGTAAAACTTACAGTGTAGCGCCTTCTGCTTTGGTAGCCTCTACTGTGGCTTTAGCATGGCAGAGGATGGTTTCAAGAATAGAACAAGTGTTCATAATATGAATCATTTGGGAGAAAACAGGAAAGAAGGAAACCACAAGGGGCAGATATTTCCTTTTCCAAATTCTGAAGAAAATTACCTCTGCTCTGGCGAGTCGTAGTGCAGAGTCTAAGTCTTGCTGGGGGTAGAGAAGACCCGTGGTGCTTTCTGCATCCGAGGTGCCGATCCGGGAGTACAGTGCACTTTTAGAGATGGAAACATCTGCTGGGATAGCAGGTTCTCTCTGTGTGTTTGTTTTTTTAAATACAAAGAAATGAACCATTAAATATGTGTTTAGCTCATATGTTTTCTGGGTGTAGTGCTAGGCACCAGGGTCCTGCGCTAGGACGAGAATCCTGTGCACTACTAAATTATAACAGCAATAACACTGACAAGGAACTTTGAATTTAGCAATCATAAAATATATATTTGAGATCCATAGTAAGCACGAAGAGAGCTATATTACACTTACAGAGAGAAAATAAAGACAGCACTTTGCCACCAATATTTTAAGGTCCTAGATTAGAAAATTTACTACTTTCTGATGCAGAAATTTCATCAAAACATCCACAAGAAATGCACATCAGCAGAGGAAATTAGAATTGGAGGCAGAGAGCTTGTTAAGGGGAATTCTGCTTCCATAAAAATAGTTCAAGAAACCAGAAGCAAGAGGACAGCTCACTTTCTGTGGTCTGACCTGCCAATATACTGTACCTATCATAAACGGTATTACATTAAAAGTGTGAATATTCAAGTGACGCTGCCCCACTGGTATTTAGCATGCGATTAGTAAGTTAAGTGAGGTTTTATCTGCAGCTGCCAATTTTGCTCCCGTCAGTGGCCCAGATGAACGCAGGAGGAGAGCAGCATGTGAAATGAGGAAGAGAGCAAAAAAGAGGTGTGCGACACTGGGATGCATGAGATGTCTTGCAAACAACTCTAGATAAAAACAATCCAAGTTACGGCACGTTAAAACCAAGGAGATTATAAAAGACAGTTAGGAAGATACTAAATAAAGGAACACCACATTTTTAGACACCATCCGTAGCAACCCCCTGAGCCCGCTCTGCAGCAGATGAACCACCACAGCTATACGTCCCTGTGTCTCCTACCTATGCTTTGCACCTCGCCGGCACGTGCTGGCCGCCTGGCTGGGTACTGCCTCTGGCTGTCTGGGAAACAAAATGTTCCTTCTCTCAGCTGCTGGTGGGTCACAAAATAATTTTGGGGGTGGAAGTGACCACGTCCCTACTGCTGGGGTTTAATGTTTCACTCCTCTTAGATATGCAGGGAACTGGCCAAAGGAATCAGGATTACTGGGGATGGGGAGGAGAGGGGCAGACAGTACAGAAACCACAGCTATCACCAAAACACTGCTTCCTTACAACACGGGACTAGAACAGGGTGGAGAATCAAAACGTCACAAAAAATTAAAATAAACTTTTTTTTTAAAACAGGAAACCCTCATAGAAACCAAACAGGGGAGCAAGTTAGCGGTAAGAGGCAGCTCTATGAGCTCTGCTATGCTTCCAGGCTCCAGAGCGGAGACAGGGGACCCCCTCCGCCCCTGCAGTGCTGGGACCCTCACGACCCACCCGCTGCACAGGCGCGGGCCACATCGTCCTCGGGAAAGTTCTGCAAGACAGAGCCAGAGCAGCTCCCCTCCACGGGCTGAGGACCCGCTCTGGTCCCCGCATTGCCCAGAGCCGTCTCAGGGGAGCCCCACCTCGGGAGCACCAGGGGGGAAGACAGGCTTAGCCCTGACCAGGGATGGGCTCTTGCACTTATTAAGTGTTTTCCTTTCTCCTTCTCTTTATATGAAATCCTTCCACCAAAAGAAGTTTCATAGGAAAGATCTTGTATCTGAGTATGGCTGAAACTCCTTGAATTTCTGTGACCTAAGAAGATTCTTCACGTGGTGCAGATCATTCAAACACACTGACTTCAGCGGTGAGGACAGAAATGCCCAGAAATCCCTCTCTCACTGTGTATGTATACACACGACACTTGCTAATCAAAACTGCATTTTAAAATATGGAATGATTTTTTTTTTAAATTTAACCTGCAGATTCAGCAGCAGAATTTTTCAGTGGGCTCTCATGACAATTCAGATTGTCTCTATGATGATGCCGCACGTAGCCACAGAGAGGGCTGGACCACGGCCCGCAGTTTGTACGGGTGGGGAGGGAAGTCAGGTTGATCAATGCCTTTTTCCATCCGCTGATGGAAGTGGATATTCACGTACAGCTTTTCTGGTACAGCCCTTCCTTGCTGCTGAAAAAGGGATAACATATTTTTCCAGTTTACTTGTTACCTTTATGCATAAAGCCATATATTCTGTTCCTTCAAATTCACTAATGCAGCACCTTAGTCTTTAGGCTTTACCTACAATAATTACGAGTAGTAATCAAGATTTTTTTAATGAGCTTTTTACACAAAAGAGAGGAAAAGATTTTATTTTATTGTAAAAGAAGGTTGGGTTCTTTTAGTTGTCTTTGTTGCTTTTTTTAAATAAAATAGCAGAGTCACATTCTATTGCGTGAAGCGCAGGAATGTGAAAGTGAATAGATAATGTCTGAATCAAGGCTCAGTCCTCCTCTCTGCAACGCGCACACAAACAGACCTCATTAATTGCAACACCGCATGCTCTTGGTTCAACACAGTTAAAGGAAACTTTGTCAGATGCTATCCCATACATCGTTCACTTGCTCACAGTTCTTCTCACATAGCCTAGAATAACAGGCAGAATCCAAACCCACTGTTAATTTTGTTGCAATCCCTTCTGAGTTCTCACGTCACTCCTTATTGAAGAAGCTGTATTAAAAATTACATACAATGCTCACTTGAGAGAAACATAGGACTAGATGGTCTGGGTATCACATCTGTAGACAACATGAAGAAACCACACTGGCAACGTTAAAAGACTAGGCAAGAAAATTTAATTAGAACAAGAATAAGCTAAACAGTACTTATAAAACACCATACTGCATCTTTATTTATATAAGAGACTCTCACTAATTTCCTCTGTATTTTCTGTTTATTTTTAAACAAGGGAGTCAGTTGACTATTATTTCATTTATGGAGCAGGCCATCCCTTCTCTTTTTTGCTACATTTAACCACGAACACACAAAATAATGATCAGTTCCCACATAAGGTGCGACCTCAAATCCAGTGGATTCTCCTACCTGAGCAAAAAGCATCACAAGATCTATCAAAATTACATAGCCTATATTCTTGAAAGTATCTCCCAATATACAACAACTCTGCAGGGAAAAATACATCTGGGACACAAGTTCAGACATCAATATAAATGCATAAATACAAAAACACATGGTGCTGTCCACAGATCTCAGTAAAGGTAAAACATCCAATAAATAAGATTACTGCTGGCTGAACTCAGTATCCTCACTTCAAAAAAAAGTACTTTAGTTCCTCCTCAAACACAAGGCAAGAAAAATCGAGAGATAAAAAAGGGCCATTAGATCATCAAAGCTGCCCTCAAAAGAAAGGCCATCCTGAAGATCAATCTGGTGAACTGTATGTATCATATTTCAAAAGCCTCCTGCAGCTTAATTTGCTGGATCTCATACAGAGATTGCTGGAAAATATTAATTGTGGCAAGAGAAACAGAAATTTCCTCAAGCTCATATAAAAACATGACCAAGTAACTGCCGGGATGATGAAAATTTTTAATGAAAAAAGAACATTTGAAGCATTTAATACATACTTATGCGTATTTTTTTATATAGTGCTCAACACCTCACTAGTATAATTATGTTTTCTCTGGTTCTCTCTTGCATTTGAGTAAATTGTACAAAAGAATAGTAATAATGACATGCAAAACAACTTAAAATTTCCAAAAACTGTTGTAAAAACTCTTGGAATTTAACCATTGAGCAGAAATGCTTGCAGGACTGGTCCAACCAGTATTGTCCTAACTCTGGAAACACTTCACAGCTGGGCTGCTGGGTTCTCTCTTTGGCAGCAGCAACCAGTAAAAGTCCTCGTGGTTTTATTTCAAAAGCCAATTTTACACATCTCCAAACTGACGTACAATTCAGTAACTCTTATTTGCTGCCTCCAAATATTCCTATCCTAAGAAAATAATATAGCCTGACCAACAGCATGATGGTATTACCCAAAATAACTCTGTCAATGCTTTAAGTTCAACACCTAACTGCTGAGAAGGTAAGCAGTTAATTGGGGTAATAATAAGCATAGGGATTTATAAGTCACTGAACCTCGCACAGAAAGATTAGTCTGCAGGGGAATTACTACTAAATGTAGGTCACTGCAATCTTAGTGTAAATATTTGAGAGCCCAGGGCGCTTCCTCTTGTTTTCCCAGCATCTTTCACAGAAACCAGATATCTGACCAGAAAGGGAATAAATGCACATTGATTAACCAGCTGCAGTTACTTCGCTTCAAGAAGGTCCAAGTGGAAGAAAATAGAGAAAGGCACTGCAATGAAAACGAAAACTAGTTTTTATCATACTCTTTAGGGGAATAGGTATTTAGCCCGGCTGAAAATTAGCTTGCCCTTTACAAGCGTTCAAATACTGCTTGGGTGCGTATCAAATGATCTACTCTTTTAACTAATTGAGGTGTGTGCAGACAGGTCAATGGAGGCAAAACGAGACCTATTTGTGCTTGCAAATATATTGAAAAGCAAGTAAAATCCAAGCATAAGTTCTCTGCTTGTAAAGTTTTACTAGAAAAAAAGGTATCCCTTTTTGAAGGAAATATTCCTCCTTCACTACCAGGAGAGCCCCCAAAGCTGCGATGCACTAATCCCATTTGTGCCGATGCCTTTCCTTACAGTTTCTCTCCTTTCCATGGATCTTATTTCAACCCTCAACTCTACATCGCCTCAGCATCTGTAGGGTGGCAGACACAAACCCTCTTGGCTTTCTGTTCAAGTTGCACCTATTAAAAAATGGCCACAGCAGATTAGCAGATCCTAATGGAGACTGTTTAACAGAGAAGAATTAATTCATCTCAATGCTGGAAGATAGAAATCTCTGGCAATGTAAAAATAGATGGCTAGTCCTGCTGTTGTTGAACTCTGTGACAAGAGGTTTGGGAGTGGCCAAATAACTTTCCCTCTGTCTGAGAACAACAAACTGCACATCTTTATTCGCAGTCCTAGTACTAGCAGAAAACGCTTGTATTTAATCATTATTTTACGTGACCTAACTTGCCATAACAAGGGCTTGTGTTTTTATTTAGCATCCTGTTCTTGT